GAATTGCATGTTATGAATTCCGATAATGGAAAGACAAAAGTGACCAAAACTAAAATTGAAATAATTGAGAGAATTAACATGATCAAATTGGTGGTATCATTAATACATGCTTGATTCGGATATCTCATCAATGAAGCAATCATATCAGAAGATTCATCAGCATCATTCATCATCATTGTTGAACTACAATTGAGAAAACCAAGCAACACATAAACAAACAACAAGGAGAATGGTTTTACAATCAAAGCACAATAAAACGTAAACCATTTCAATTTCTTATAATACTTGTTCTGTTTGTTGGCTAATCGAATTGAAATTACATAAAAAACAGCCATAATCAATATAATTGCAATGAAAACAGAACCAATTCCAACAACACCCAAATAAGGAATCATTCTTGCAATCAAAGTCGTTGGAAAATTGAAAGCATCAATTAAAATATAACTTCCAACATGTCCCCATTTAAAATCTGAAAGAGTTGTCATGAAAATTAAACACCACATCCAATAAACATTCACAAATAAAAAGATTGAATAATTTTTCCATCCCTTCTTTGCTTCACAATCTTGTAAAGTGATAATACTATTGGTGAGTAATATCTTTGCCTGATAAGTGATTGAATTAGTTTCGGTTGTGGTTGTATGAGTGTTGGCACTGTGCAAACTTTCAGAACCGACATGAGATGGTGTTGGTTGAAGCATTGAGGAAGAGAAAGCTACATTGGTATTTTGTTCGAGCAGGTTATTGGAAGAGGAGGATGAACCATTACTTGCATTAGGTACTGCAAGTAAGTCTTCGTTCATTGTGTTGTTTTTCTTTTGATTTGATGAAGTGGAAGGAAAGATGCTGAAATCCAAAAAATGCAAGTAAACTCTGAGTTTGTGCGAAACAATGTCTTTAGCTTTCAAATCGAATTTATGTTCCGATATGTATTAGAGAAGCTCTTTTGGTAAATTCTATTTCGTGTATGGTATTGTTGTACAGGGATATTTCCTTTTGTATTTGGTCTGCCAACCCATCATGAAAACGCAGTTTCATGTTGTACTGTTTGCCCTGATGATGGCGCAAGAGTACATTACAAGACTTCAATGTTGTATTACATTTGAAACGTATTGATGCAACAAGGTTTTATTTTACAAAAAACGTATAATTGTAAAATAGAAATTTATAAATCTCTTAAGGTTCTTCAGCGAGTGTTGCGTAATTTCCATTTCCATCATTTTGATTTTGTGGAGCGGTTTGTCCTTGTTTCTTCTTGTAAATGTAATATCCAACACCAATGACAATTGCAATAATTATCATCAAAATAAATCCTACAAGAACAACGATATATGATTTGTCACCCTTTTCTGTGATAATTGTTCCAGCACTACTTGATGTTGGCTTATTGCTTGATGTGCTTGGTTTGTTTGGGGATGGAGTTGGTTTGTTTGGAGATGGAGTTGGTTGAGGAGTCTTACCACTGCTAGATGTTGGTGGAGTTATTGGTTGAGCAATAAGGGCAAAAGATGAAGGCCAATGAGTAGTTGAGCATACAACTGAATAAGTGCTTGCTGTTGCTCCTTGTTGTGAACTCAAAATGGTGGTTGTAACTCTGTCAGTCTTCCAAGAATCAGTGGTCTTATCGTAATATGCACAAGCAATTCTGGACAAGGCGACACTATGTCTTGCTAATACAGATGTTGGAACGACTATATTGTGCATGTTTAAAAGGATTGGATCAGGAAGGTTATTTAATTCTACTCTTTGGTTGTTTCCTTGTTGAGTAATGATGAATGTAACAGCAGGGCTCAATACTTTAGAGTTAACACTTCTAATATCAGAAACTGATG